AGAGAGAGAGAGAGAGAGAAGCATTTATTATTATTTTTTCAATTTGTAATTTCCCTCCTAAAGCAAAGTCAACTGGGCAGGTAGAACTTCAGAAGAGAAAGAGAGAGAGAAGGAGAGGAGAGGGAGGGAGAGGGAAAGAAAGAGAAACAGAGAAGGGGGGAGAGAGGGGGGGGAGAGAGAGGGGGGGGGAGAGAGAGAGAGAAGCATTTATTATTAAGAATCATCCAAGGTCAAGTCAGAAGGACTGGGACCACACAATAAGTTCAAATTAAGCTAATTGATTGCTCATGCCTTTACCCAAGAATTTAGTCAACTAACGGTCAGCATTACATTGGTGCTAGGGAAGAGCCAATGGAATTCAGGAGGGGTTGGGCTTAGACCATTTGTGGGAACGTAATGATTCTAGGCTGATTCCTTTCTTGACGCACACACCCCTGCCTGCCTGTCCTCCTCCATTCAGTAAAACAAGCTGATCCATCTCATGTTGTGTTTGGCCATCTTTCTCTCCCCTTTTAGAGCTTCTTCCAAGAAGTGGACACAGGTTTTTATGAAGTGGTCTGCTCCATGATAAAACTACAGACCTGGATTTGAGTTGGACCATAGAGTGCGTACTTTCAACACAGACAAGTCTGGAGTTCGAACTTCATCAACCCCAGGTTTTTTGTTTTTTTTTAAATCATGGACTAGATCAGGGGTGTCAAACTCAAGGCCCGGGGAGCCGGATCCGCAGGGCCGCCGTGGAAATAGGGCCGCCGTGCCTCTGCCAATGAAAACGGAGTTTGGGAGGGCCACGGGAAGCCCACACGAGCTCCGTTTTCGCTAGCGGAGGGTTGCAGCCGAAAACGGAGCTCGGGAGCCTGTTTTTGCTGGCAGAGCACTCGGGCCACCATAGGCGCCCCCGACACGAGTGACATCGAGCTGGCCACGCCCCCACCACCACACTGACCCCGCCCGCCCCGAGGTCAGATACGATCTGGATGCAGCCCTCAATGAAATCGAGTTTGACACGCCTGGACTATGACGATGGTCTTCCCAAGGAATCATGAGCAATTGGACTCCCTGAGGGATGATCAGCTACAATTTACTGTCAACCACGAGCTGCAGAGAGCTTATCCTGACACTTGTCCTCCACTGCGTCACGGACCGGCCACCTACCAACGACGGATCCTCCTGTCTATAGAGAGTCACTGCTGGCACTGCTGGAAGACCCAACCAGGGTCCGAGTGTAAGTGTCATGCTGTCACATTTGGTGGCTGCCTACGAAAAAGAAGGCGGGGTTAAAAGGTGAAGATCCCCCTCGCACATCCGTGCTAGTCATTTCCGGCTCTAGGGGGCGGTGCTCATCTCCGTTTCAAAGGCAAAGAGCCAGCGCTGTCTGAAGACGTCTCCGTGGTCATGTGGCCGGCAGGACTAAACACCGAAGGCGCACGAAGCAACGCTCTTCCCTTCCCGCCAAAGGGGTCCCTATTTTCCTACTTGCATTTTTAACATGCTTTTGAACTGCTAGGTTGGCAGAAGCTGGGACAAGTCACGGGAGCTCACTCTCTTATGTGGCGCTAGGGATTCGAACCAGCAAACTGCTGACCTTTCTGATTGACAAGCTCAGTGTCTTAGCCACTGCGGGGTTAGAGAAGCGGAAATGCGGCTTCTTTAAAATTTTATTTTATTAATAAACATTTTTTTTGAATACAGCGTTCTGTTCAGATATATTATTTACAAAAAAAAGAAACATAGCTAGTACTGTAAAAAATATTATCCATTTACTAATAATAATAATACTATAATAACACCTAAACTAACAGCTCTAGTAATACTACAGTTCCCATACAATACACTTCCCATTCTTTGTACTGAACTCATATTTTTAATATTGAGAACAATTATAATTATATATCTTCCCTGTTTTTAATAAGACTGTTCATCATTTTTCTTCCTCTAACTTCTACCCCTTGTTTTAAGCCCCTCATAAAATCTATTCAATATCAAATAGTATTCTGAGTCTTTTTTTCCCCTTTTTCTTTTAAAGTTAATCTGTCCATCTCAACACATTCTAGGATCTGATTACCATCAATATTTTCATTTTTCCAAAATTTTGCATGTTTTATTTTTTTCAACGCATCTGAAAAAACAAGAGATTGCGGGCCTCTTTAATGAGACCTGGCTGAATCCAGAGAGGATGAAAAAATGATCCAAAATGGCTCACCAGGATTTGCTTAAAAAATAAGAGCACAAGGTGAAAAAAAAATGTTCAGATGAAAAAACAGACAGTGGTTCCCCTGCCAACCAAGCTTAAAACGTGACCTGTTGGATGAATACGAGCAGCTAGCCACATTTTGATTAAGTGCAGTTCAAAATAATCCTCCTTCGGCACATGTTAAGAGCCAAAAGAAGCGCATGGTTATTTTTCATTTTAAAATAGTCAAGAGTGAAAGTAAATTAAATAGTTTACACACAACACCTATTGCTTTTGGGATGTATGCAAAGAATTGTTTGTGCATAAACAGAAACACAAGTAAATACGCAAGAGCAACAGTCACAACATACCAGTATGGAAGACGAGACGTAACCCAAAGCCAGAGTCGCGAGATTCACCCTGAAACAAACAAACAAGCCGTTTCAGCAGGCTGATTAGAACACCTTAAATCGCCACCTCTGATTTCTATTACATTTTAAACAAACAAATGAATAAAATTTATAATAGGTAAACCAGTTTGGCTTGATGGTAAAGGCACCGGGCTAGAAACTGGGAGACCGGGAGTTCTAGTCCTGCCTTAGGTATGAAAGCTGACTGGGTAATTCTGGGCCAATCACCAGGAGACTGTGAGTTCTAGTCCCGCCTTAGGTATGAAAGCCAGTTGGGTAATTCTGGGCCAATCACCAGGAGACTGTGAGTTCTAGTCCTGCCTTAAGCATGAAAGCCAGTTGGGTAATTCTGGGCCAATCGCCAGGAGACTGGGAGTTCTAGTCCCACCTTAGGTATGAAAGCCAGCGGGGTGACTTTGGGCCAATCGCCAGGAGACTGAGTTCTAGTCCTGCCTTTGGCATGAAAGCCAGCGGGGTGACTTTGGGCCAATCGCCTTGAGACTGTGAGTTCTAGTCCCGCCTTAGGCATGAAAGCCAGCGGGATGACTTTGGGCCAATCGCCAGGAGACTGAGAGTTCTAGTCCCGCCTTAGGCATGAAAGCCAGCCGGGTAGCCCAATGGGAGAAGAGGAGGTTTAGTATTAAGGTCTCTCTCCAGAACTCAGCATTCTAAGTAGGCCATTTTGAAATGTATCTGTGTTCAGCGTATGAAGGAGAACAAGGATCCAGCCGGCCGCGCAATCTGTCACTATTATAAATTGCCACCATCGGGGATGCCTCTCCCCATTCCGTTTCCTGTCCAGAGCTCTTGAATCATTTTGACAGCTGCCCCGATAGCCTTTTCCATCTGTGTGAACCAGAGCTGTCTGCCTACTAGCAGTGCCCTCTCGCCTGGACTGGATTGAACGTTTCCTACGAAGCGCTTCTCCAACGGTGACCCCCTTACCCTTCGACGTGGAGCCACATGCCGTGTTGCTCACAGAGTTCCCTCAATCGACCGAGTTTGTCCGTGTGCCCTGCCCCAGGGGTGCCTGCACGGAGAGGAAACAGCAGTGGGAGGCTAAGAAGACAAGAGCCACTAAGAGAGACAGGAACAACAACAACAGAGCTCTTCAAGTGTTTTGGAACAGGCCCTCATCACTCCCGGTCAACCCTTCCTTCCCTGTGGGAATGGCTCCTGCCTCTCTTCCCTAATTGTTTCCTAGGTAGTAATGCTTCCCCTCCTCCCTCAAGGCCACCCACTCATTCCATCAGAGAGAAAGGAGCGATCAACCATTGATACCAACTACTTCATACTGCATACACACACACACAGACTCACATCATCATCATCTTCTTTTAACAACCCCATAATCCCTTGCGGGGCGGAGTCCGGGCTACTGAATGGAGCTAGCAGAGTATGTGTTGACCCAAAGGGGCACGGCACAAAGACAACACAGTCAAATAAGCAAGAAGTGTCCCTTAGTACCTCCAACTTTGCTCCCAATGTCCAGGTTACCTTCAGCTGGAGAAAAAACTCTCCCAAGAACAGTCTTTAAGGGGAGGAAATTCAGTCCGAAAACAAAGTTACATACAAACTGTAAATAAAAATCCACGCAAACCACGCTGCAGCAGTTAACTGGCCAGGGCAGGAGAAGGAATTGCAGACTTGAAAGGCCAGCAAAACACACACAGTTGGGAAGACGCCAGGAACACAGATAAACCTCAACGATACCAGATAATTCATGATTTGCTCTCAACAGTTGGCTGTGAGCACCTTCCCTTATTAAACACTGTGTTCCCAGCTGCAGCTAATGAAAGGAATCAGGGCCCTTTCCTCCCCCGTAAGTCATGCAACCCACGTTGCTCCCTTCTCCGTTCCTCCCTGCGTGACCTAGGATGAAGAGGGGGTGGGCCTGGGTCTTCCTCCGAATTCCCTCTGCCTTGCTCTACCTCTCCCCTGCTCTGCCCAGCCGGACTTTGCCCTTCCCCAGTTTCCTCCACAGCCCAAAGGAGCCACACTCCCACTCCCTGTCAGCTGCTCGGCCTCCCCCTCCGAATCAGATTCTGACAGGGGCATGACAAGAGTATTTGAATGGCCAGATGCCATTCCTGTTGCCAATGGTGAGTTTTGTTCGGCAGATATATTCTCGATGTGCCGAGAAAGAGAAATATCTGCTTCTACCTCGGATCGAACTCAGCGCCTCCTGGTTGTGAGGCGAGAGCTCCACCTCTGGGCCACCGCACCACTCAAACACAGACTCACATGCGCGCGCACACACACACACACAACCTCATCACATTTTCTGATGGGTGGAAGTAGACTGCTTTCCCATACGGGCTACTCTTTTAATGCGTCTTCTTGCCAAATGCCTCTTTTTGTACTCTGTCTCGACTTCGCTTCGTTCCTCGCTTTGCTTCCTCCGTGACTTACTAACATTTGTTATGGGACAAACATACACACACACACACACCCTCCAGCACTGCAGAAAAAACAGCTTGTTCATATTTGCTAAAATCACCCACCAGCATTGGCCACCAGTAATACAGGCAGCCTTCCAGATTCAAGGTCTTCCTTGATCAGTCTGTCCAACAAAGCGACATCCTATCGCCAAGCAAAATAAAAGAAAAAGGAGGGAATAGCATGAAGAAAGCATAAAAATAGGCAACAGGAGTCTTAATGATTTCTGTTTTTGTAAAAAAACAAACAAACAAACCCCAAAGCCTTACCATTTGATGCTGGGAGCCAAACATTGTGTTACACGGCACTCGGCACATACAGGAAAGAGGCAAGCCAAGCTGCAGAAAGAGATACAGAATCCAGGGTTAACAAATTAACAGAGAATAAAGAATAATACGACGGCGGCAAAGGAAGAGGTAAAGATGATTTGCAGGCCAAAAACTCTGCGCCCATTTCAACTTACCTGACTACAGAGGAATTGGCCCAAGCCAGTTCTCGCCGCAGCACTGATGTACACCATGGGCTGCTTGTTATATAAAGCATTAAAACCTTCGGCGGCATAATCTTCATAGCGGGAGTGAATCGCCAGCTTGCAGACTTTCAAAAGCCCTTCGCGATCGTCTTCGTGGTAGTAGGCTGACCCGTTTTCAAACCTGTTCAAGAGCAACGATGAATCAAACGTGAGCATCCTGAAAATGGGTGCCAGCTCACTTGCTTCATATGAAATTGAAGCAATTTATTCCCGGCGATGATTCTGAAAAATCTTGGGGGACGAAAACGCTATGTTAAGCTTGTAATTAACATGGCTAAGACACAGAAAAAGAGGTCTTTGAAAGCGCAGAAAGAGATGCCACCAAAGTGGATCGCCAACTGAACGTACTATTTATTAACCGACAATAAGGGGCGCAGTGGCTCAGCGGTTTAATCACACTGGAGATGGTCACAGCTCCGCCGGCTCGAGTCCTAGCACTGTGTTAGCAGGGTGAGCTCCCACCACTTGCCTCAGCTCAAAAGCATATTCCACATTGAGTAGATAAATAGGTACCACTTTTGTGGGGAGACGAGTGGTGCTCTGTGCAGGCAGTCAGATTCCGGACAGCTCCGAACCTTCCCGCTTGCAAGGCAGCTCCAGGAAGGGAAGGGGTTTTGGGCGATGCTACAGGAAAGAGCTGTTCGTCTTTCCCTCTGGTGCAAAGCCAGCTCACCCTCCTATGGCACCCACCTTGGGAAGCGCGCATGCACGCCCTATAACAGGGCTGGAACCATGGCAAGCCAAATTACTACTATGCTGATATCCTGGCTATGGTAACAACGCTGTAAGCTAATCACAACAATAATAATACTGACAGTCAAAGTAGCCTTTTGTCTTCCTAATTAGTTTCTGGATGTTTAGATTAAATGGGACTTCCTTTCCTACACACTTATGATAAAGGGTACACTCAGTATTAGCGACACAAGGGTACCTGAAGAGCCTGCAGAGCCACAGAGTTGTGTCAGAAAGGATTTTGGTAGTAAGTTTTCTCAGTCTGTCCCTGTCCAGGATGGAAATATAAGCTGCCAAGCTGTGTCCTAAGAGAGCCATGTGTCCCTGCTCCCCCACGTTTTGTAGCCTGCAAACCAGGAGAGAGAGAAAGAGAATATGACACAAATCACACTTTCATTTGTAGGCTGAGAAAAGCCTTTCCCTAATACATCAAAAAAATGATCAAGGGGCATTTTACTGGATGTATCATATTTAAGCGGTATTTATTTTCGGCCCGAAAGAGTGATTAGACAGCTGCTCAAGCTGGTGTTGGCTTAAGACCAAGTTAAAATCCAGTCCGCTGTATGATGTAGATTGGATTTTAACTTGCTTTTAAAGCCATCGTTGGCTTGATGGGTTCCTTCCTCTGGCGGCTTCTAAAGATCTTTTTCCCCCCAACAGAACACTTGGTTGTAGACTTCAGTTCCTCTGCCACCTGGAAACTTCAACCTTTTTCTGGCTACTTTTTCACTTCCTTAAATTGCTTCCCTCACTGTTAATTTTTTATGCTTACAGGTAATCAACATTGCCTGCTGCTAATTTTTTTTTTCCTGAGAAGCAGGAAATCAAACCTGTAGATCAGCAAACATGAGCTTCTTCAAATTTGTCATCACTTTAATCTTCCGAAAGATAACCCTCCCCATCTACCCAAGGCATAAGAATATTTGCAAAACCCGATTTCCTTTTGCTTTAAAAGCATGCTTTTTTAAGGAATACTTAAAAAACAGCAAGAGGATAAACAATTCTATAAAATTTGGGACCTTTTCTATAAATGGTTGGATGATAAAATACAATAATAGAATATTTAGAATTTTAGATAATAAGGAATATATAAAAAGATATTTTTTCTTTTCTTTGTTATTTGATATTATATCTATAAAATGTTTTTAGGATAGATTTGGTATGACTATATGATTTGTTATAAAATAAACTACGTAAATTATAGTTATCTCATAAAGTATGAATGAATAAAATTATAGTCAAATGATTGTTTCATAGTGATACTAGGATATATAATTTTTGATTGATAATATGAGTTATTATGTAACATAACTGTAATTGAGACTACGAAATGAATGCACAAAAACTGATAAACCAACCGACACACTGTTTGTATATATTTATGAAAGAAAGCGGATGTTTTTATGTTTTGTTTGTTTTTAAAAACTAATAAAATTGTTTTCAAAAAAAAAAAAAAGAGCAAGGCATTAGGTATATTATGTGTTTGGAGAGAATCTTAAAAGATAATGACTTTGCATCTTAAAAAACATGAGCAAAACTTGTCCTTCTGTAAGCGAAGAAAAGGTGGAACCTGGGAGGCAGAGTCAAGAAAATACTCAGCCTGGAATCCTTACATGTCCACAAATGCTGTAAGTCCAGCCCCTCTTGAATTCTGTTGACTCTAGCAGCAATTTAGTGCTGACTCCTAATTGACTGGATGGGTGTGCAGATTTGAGCAAAAAAATCTTAAGTAGAACTTAATATGTGACCCTGATTCTTTATGCCTGACACCTCCAACCCTTTCCACAACCTCGACAGATCTCTATTAAACCAAAACTTACCGATAAGACTGTAGTGACTCTTCTTCTTCGTCTCCATGCATAAGTGTCTGGACTAGCTGGAGAATGCTCACCATGTCCTGTCCACTGGAGGAAGGGAGAGAAACACAAATCCACCTTGATCATGAGGCATAAGATGACGACTTTAAAGTAGACGCGCTTCATACAGGTAAGTCCTTGACTTACGATCATTGGTTTCATTCTGACCAAGGCTTCTGAGACCGTAATTAAGCACACACTTAGTTAAACCAACTCTTGTTTTATTTCAACGCTGGGAATTATGTACATTCCCAGCCGGTAATGAGTCCCAAACAGTCCCTCGAGATAAGCACCCACTTTTCTCTCCTTTGAATTGCTGCCAACAACAAAAGTACGAAATGAACTATAAAAAAAACCAACCGAAGTACAAAGTCCACACAGAGCTTCAAGGATTAATCTGAACAGAGTGAACGACTTTGCTTCCTGCAAAGATTTCTTCACCTTGGCCTGACTTTTATCCCTTATGGGAGGGACAATCGCCTCCCAGCCTTACTCCTGAGTCGCCCCTTTTGTTTCAGCTGCTCTCACCTTCTAGCAGCTCTGTGCATACGCGCACTGGGAACAGGCTCCCCTAGATCCTCTGCCTTGCTGCTGCCAGACTTTGGAGGCTCCTGAGTCAGCACCCCACTCCCAGATGGTCCTGGCCCCATCTCTGCATCGGACGCAGGACCCTCATCCGAGTCCTCTCCAGCTCCTAGACTGGTCCCCGTTCTTCCCCACTGTCCGATTCCGCTGCCATCTGCACAGGTTGCCAGTGAACCACAACAGGTTTAGCGACTGTTCAAAGTTACGACGGCCCTGAAAAAAGTTACTTACAACCGGTCCTCACACTTACAACTGTTAGTGACCTTTGGTCACATGATGAAAATTTCGGCCCTTGGCAACCAGGATGTGTTGACGAGGATAAGCAATCTCTCAAAGACACATGATCCCCAATGGTGACTTTTGCTTTTGGTCAGCAAAGTCAACAGGGAAAACTTGGATTTGCTTAGCGGCCATGTGATTCACTTAATAACCACAGTGATTTGCTTAACGGCCGCGGGCAAGTTGAAGTTCGCCCATCTTAAGGTTGCTAAGAACCTCTTTATGAGGGAAATGGCAGGCTAAGAAGTTTGATATAGAAAACAAAATAAAACAAAGAGAGACCGAGAAATGATTTAGACTGTTGTATTGAGTATGAAATTGTAGTCCGTTGCCCAAATGGGCTCTTCAGCTTTACACAAACCAATCATCCATTTGCCCCAAAGTTAGCAACAATCACACATCACACTGATGACAATTAGTGTGGCTATCAGTTACCAATATCACGTGATTTGGCAAACGAATTCAGATTATTCTCTTTCCCCAGCTTCAATTTCCCTAAATTAAAATACCCAAATTATTAGTGTGTGTGTGTGGGGGAACCATAAACAGAGAGGAAAACCTAATTCTGGATCATTTACCTGCCTTGAAGTGGCCCAGGAATATCCTTTCTTGTGTAGTTCTTTTCATTCTCTTCTTCAACTTTCCTAATTTTAACACAAAACAACAGGAATTGGAGACAGATTGGCCAATATATGTTTTCTCCTACAACGGGATTTCATTCAAAAGAGCCACATTGGATTAGCTACATGGCTGCCAGGTGCTGAATCCAATTCCCTTTTAATGAAATGACCAGGTTAAAAAAAAAAAAATCTATGCCGAAACAACGCTGGTCAGCCAGTCTTATTTATATGTCCCATTGTGTACTGCCGAAATCAAAGGATGACTCATTTGTCTTATCAAAAGCAAAGCACAGCCCACTGATTCATAACAGGAAATGTCCCCCTGACCTCTGAATCGTTTTGTGCTTTCTTTTAAAAAACAGCTTTGCATAATTTTCGCAGGAACACATAAAACCAAAATTATCCCTTTTTTTTTTCTCTCTCTCTCTCCCAACAATAGGACAGGCAAGAAAAACCTGTGTATGAATAAGGAAATATCTATCACATACCACTGGCTGTTTGAAGTTTATTTTAGTGTGTCTGCTTAGCTGCAGTGACATAACTTTAGGATGATGTCATGAACCTAATTTGCTGGGTGAGAAGACATGTTACAGCCTCCATCACTATAGAAGCTGGATTCACACACCATGCTAGAATAAATTCTAGGGGGCTGGTGGGTGGTTTACTGCATTGTGTGAACAGAGCTAACATTCAATTTTCAAAAAACTAAGTTTGGTGCAACTGCCAAGGGGCATCCTTAGCCACTCATAATTGCTTCAATAGTAATATGGGCAGCATATAACTTGAATGAATGAATGAATGAGAAGTTGTAGGCGCTTCATCACTGGAGGTTTTTAAGAAGAGACTGGACAGTCACTTGTCTAAAATGGTATGGTGTCTCCTGTTTGAGCAAAAGGTTGGACTAGAAGACCTTAAAAGATCCCTTCCAGCTCTAATCTGGTTGATTGAAGTATATATTTCCCTAAAACAGGATCCACAAGCATAATTATTAGCAGCAATCCTCTTGAAATTCTGCCAAGACTAATAAATACCTTTGATTGTCTTCAAGCAGCTTCATGGCCTCATTGAGATTCTTTCCCATTTCTGCTAAGGTAGGGTCAACCACCTGTTATTTAGAAAGAAAAGAAGAAAAAACAAAGTCAATAATGTGGTAAAGTTCCATTCCCAAACCGGCTCATGATAGGAATTGTAGTCTCCCAGAACAAAGCTGAATTGAAGAGATGTTTTAAGAAATATCTCGGTTTTCTTTTAAAAGTCCTTGCTATCATTTGGGAGGGATGTATTATTAACTTTATGTATTATTAATGTATTATTAACTCCAGAGCCACCATGGGACACTGTGTTAATGGAAAACTCTGATTAGAGTTATGCTGTCCATTTTCCACAGTGAATCATCTCATAGGTTTTTCTGGAACTTTTCTCTCTGTTTTCACACTTCCCTTTCAGAGATTCCACAGAGTTAAAAATCTGAGATCTCCTTCACTGAAGAACAGCTTTTAAAGGTTGGGTAACTTCAAATGCTTGATTCTCTTCTTTGTGAGACAAATGCCTTTCAATTGCTTGTTTTTTACCACTTGGGTATCAGGTCTACCTGGACTTGAAACAGGTTGTATGGGATCTTTTATCCTGAAGTTGCAAAAAAAAAAAAAAAAAAGGCAGCTATTTATGCATCCACCAGCAGTTCAAAACTCTTAAGAGTAGCTGGAGGAAAACTATTATCCTCGCTTTTTTTTTATTTCTGGGGAAATTTGGTGAGAATAAGGGGCAATCTAGGTATTTTAAATCTCTCTTTCAACCTTGGACAACGTGCCATTCAAGTCTTGGTGCATTCCTATTTTATAAGGGAAAACACAGGCTTTTTATTGTAAGGAGTAAGCATTTGCTAGCCGGGAATAATTTGCTAGCCGGGAATAATTTTAAAAAGCTGATATGTATGAATTCAAGATAAGCTCTAAATTATGGGAAGAGCTGCACTTGTGTTATTTATAATTTGTTGCCTGGTTTGAGGATTAAAGTAAGAGAGATACAGTAAAATAATGGTTAGCGCTTTAAGGCATCAAGCACACACACACACACACATAAGCACAACACAAATATCCTGGAAAGGGAGTGTGTTTGTACCCAGCATCACAGAGAATCAATAAATCTACAACAACAAAACAGGCGCCTAATTATTATGTACAGCACAGGTAACAAGGTAAATCTTTTTCAAAGTACTTGGAGGGTGATTGGTAATAGCAACCTTCTCAGAAATATAAACTAAGCCCATGTAGAGACATAAAAAGGATGAATGTTGAAATGGAAATTTGTTAAAATGGACGAGCTAAATATTATTGTTATTACAGTAGTGTTGTTATTGTGATGAATGTTATTGTAAACACTTTGATTAGGATTGTCTAAACACAATTGTATCTAGACAACACACTATTTGATTGAAAAGGAATTTTTATATGTTATATAAATAAAGAAAACTTGTGGGGGGGCGCTAAGCACATCATCATAACTTGGATAAGCAACTAGTGGCTTTGAGAAGATAGCGACTTTAACAAACGATACTGACTTCAACAAATGATATGAGCCCCTCTCTACATTTTTCCCCTCCTAAGGGTACTTTGTATTATTTTTTTATATATTTAAACGTTGGAGCTGAAGGTCTGATTCACCTTTAAAATTAAAAAAAAAAAACAAAGCATGAAAGAGCTGGTTGGTATCTCACAGCTGCATCGACACTGCTGGGCTGCAAATGTATTCCCAACGGGAGTCTGTAAACATTTGTTTTCAATGTTTATCAAGGACGGGGAGAGAGAAAGATTCCTGCTGGTGTTTGGTTAAAGCCTCCCATCTTAAAAGTGTCCCTTCTATATAATAAATTAATGCTAATTTCTTTTCTTGAAAGACCGTTATGCTAATCATCATATAATATTCCTAGCAGGCTGCTTCCATAATAAGATTACTTCATTCCTTCACTTGCTACAGAAGAATATTTTTTAATCTCACTTAATATGACTTGACAAAGGACTACCTGTACTTTTGCAAGCCATTATAACTGAAGTAAAGATGGCAAACCACAGTTCGCTAACAAGAAGCATTATATGGATTTGTCAAACGAGCGTGTGCTAAATTCTTTTCCACCTGATAAAATAGAGAGGTCATTATTGCCAAATCAGACAAAATGTATCACGAGTAAGGAGGAAATGCCAAGGTATGACAAATAAACTAAGTACAATTTGTGTCATTTTTGCTGGGACATGGTAAATAAAGGCACGGTGGAACCTGCTTTTTTCTAAGAAACCGCTGGATAATTTGAGAATTCTGTCACTGCGATTTAGTATTTAAAAATCGATTGGCTCATGCTAGCTCATGTTTCCATTTTTGTATATTTAATTTCCAGAAAAATAATAATGGGGACTGCCAGTTGGGCAAGACTGTCCTCAATGGGCAGGAGGACCATTATGTGGACTTAAACTATAAGGTAATCCCCGACTTACGACCACGATTGAGCCTAATAATATTTCTCTTTGTAGGCAAGACAGTTAAGTTAGTTTTGCCCCATTTTACGACAACCCGGTTGTTAAGTGAACCTGGCTTCCCCGTTGATTTTGCTTGCCAAAAGGTTGCAAAAAGAATAGAATAGAATATTTGATGATATAAAATGGCCTCGGGACACAGCCACAGTCGTTTAAGTCTGAATTTTGATCACGTGACCATGGGGACGCTACCAAGGTTGTGACTGTGAAAAACTGTGTTAAGTCACTTTTTTTTCAGTGACGGTCACTAAACAAGCTGTTTTAAGTTGAGGGGTACCTGTACCTCGGCCTTGAGTCCTGTGTCAACTCATAAAATATTTCTGTGGCCTTTTTAGATTGGCCAACAGAAAGGGAGGGAGGAGCAGAAAGGAGGGAGGAGCTTGCATTCTGCTCTGACCTGCACCCTTTTCCAACAAATCAAACACAATCCAAAGGGAACAGAAACCTTTTAATGCTTCTGCAAAGTAATTAGCTGTGATAAGCACAAGCCTTGCCAAACTGTGAGAGACTTGCCAAAAGATAGCAAGACAAGAAATAATTTGCAATATAAGAATCTTCAAATACAAACTCAGGATACTGGAACGTCCACGAGGCTGGAGTTTCAAAACGTCTTTGCTTTCTGCAAAATACATTCATTTCACAGCTGGCTTTTATCTTCTTGAAGGAGGGGCCATTACCTTGCAGCCTTACTCCCAAGTCACCCGTGCTGTTGTAACTGCTCTTTTCTATGAGCAATCCTGCGTGCACGCACACTTGGCACAGGCTCCTCGGGAACCTCCTCATCGCTGCTGCCAGCCCCCACAATCTCTGAAGGCAGCACTCCACTCCCTAATGGTCCTGGCCCCTCATCTGAGTCCTCGCTCTCCTCAGCCATCCGCACCTGCTGCTGGCTAACCACAAAACATTCCATAAATGTTTTCAAGGGTAGTTTCTAGGTGACTGAAGTTTCTGCCACGCAAAATTCTAACTGGAAAGCATGATTGATGATTCTTGGCTATGGATGTGTTCCATTGGAGAATATGAATTACGATACACCCAGGGGGTGGGGGGAACCAGGGTCAAGGATGACAATGAATAATGTGCCTCAGAGTCAGCTACATCCAGGAAGCGCCAGCATGTCTGCTCCTAATAAATCTTCTTTAAGTTTTGGACTTTTGGCTAGAGACTCATGATTTAAATGGGGGTAACTGTCAGAGCCCTGTCATCCTGAAGAAAAACATCCCTCGTTCATCGATACTGTGACCCTTGTGGCTTCTTCTCATCCTTCAAGGAAGCAGACCCAAAGTATTTCAATTATCTATCAAAGATTGTGTAGTTTTTCCACCATCAGCTTCTTAACACATACCGGACTCTCCATCAGCAAACCAAAGTTATGTTCACAATCACAGCAAGCCAAGCAGCCGGGCACCGCCAGAGGAAGTAAAGCCCATGTCATTGAACCCATGTCAGAAAGAACTTTGGACTCTATATATGTGAACAAACTGGTTTGAAATCCTGATTCCGGAACCCCAAGTAAACACACACACTGCATGCTCTTCCTTATTCCTTTTATTTTATGGAATAAAGACAGTTGCTTTGGCTTTGGGCTGCAGGTAAGATGTTTTCTTTTTTCCATGCCTTCTGAGTGAAAATCACCAAAATTAACCAAGAGATCAACTCGGGAAATAATCTCGAAACCTCATGCAACGTCAAATGAAATAACCGACAGAGCAATTTTCACGATTTATCAGACCCTCCTAATATATTCCAGTTTCTTCTGATCGGAGAATTGAGGTCAAACTTTTTTAATTCACTGGACCAGGTGCTTCCTATCTTATTCACAGGAGCATGGAAATAGCACGAAGAACTTTTGACACATCAGGAGGAAAAAAACCCTGAATAAATTGTTCCAGCATTCATAACATGAGCAATAAATCTTTAAATTGTAGTCAATGCGAAACAGGCTAACTAACCAATGCTTAAGCATTCAACGGTATCTGATCAAACTACAATTCCTCTTCCTTGTGCTGGTCATTTATCACTAAACATTAATGGCTTTCCTATCAATAAATCTTTATTTTAGAGGTCCATTTTAGCACCCTTGAATTAGAGTTACGTGGCTGACATTCGTTTATAAAGATCCATTCATTCAAAGTGAATCCCAAATCCTCACAAAGTTTAGCTCTGTTAAACTGGAAGAGCATGTATTTATTTATATCCTTGTTTTACATATATATAAATAACTCAAGGTGGCAAACATACCTAATACTTCCTCTTCCTATTTTCCCCACGACAACAAAGCTGTGACATTGATTGGGCTGAGAGAGGAGGAAGTACTGGTCCAAAGTCACCCGTGTAAGTGCCTGTAACTCACGCCTTCAAAATTTGGCAACCGATATCCTTTTGATTAGTAATCTCAGCACCGAAGCCTAAATCCAGGGCTTACCTAGGGTTCCCGTTCTCCAAAGATTAAGAAAAAAATAAAAGTGATTGGCTTTCTCTTCCACTGCTGGGATTATCTCCATTTCAGGCAAGACGGCAAGTGACTTTATCAAACAAATATTGACATGCCATTATAAAATCGTCCACATTTACCAT